TGGATAAATGGCAAGTGGTAGAAAGGATCTACCTAGATTTTACTAAAATATTTGACATACTCATTACTAAATGAGGGAAATACAATGTAGATGGAATTGCTATAAGGTGGGTGCATATCTGGTTAGATAACCATTCCTAGAGAATAGTTATCAAAGGTTCACAGTCATGCTGCTAGGACATAATGAATGGGGCTCTGTAGGTATCAGTTTTGTGTCTGGTTGTGTTCACTATCTTCATCAATGATTTAGAAAATGACAAAAAGTACAATAAGAGTCTTATTAAATTTGTGGATGATACAAAGCTCGAAGGGGTTTCAAGTACTTTGGAGGATAGGATCAAAATTCACAATGATCACGAGAAACTAGAGAAGTGATCTAAGGTAAATAAGATTAAATTCAATAAGGCCAAATACAAAGTACTCAACTTAGGAAGAAACAATCAGCTGCACACACACAAAATGGGAAATGACTGTCTAGGAAAGAATACTGTGGAAAGGGGATCTCAGGGTCATAATGAACAGATAAAAATAAATGTGTGTCCATAGTACAACACTGTTGAAAAAAAACCACAGTAATTCTGGGCTGTATTAACAGGAATGTTGTAAGAAAGACAAGAAGCATTTCTTCCACTGCACTGATTAGACCTCAACTGAGGCATTGTGTTTAATTCTTGATGCCATGTTTCAGGAAAGGAGTGGACAAATTGGAGAAGGTAGAGAGAAGAGGAACAAAAATAATTAAAAGTAAGCCACATGACTTATGAGGGAAAACTGAAAGAACTGGATTTGTTTAATCTGGAAAGGAGAAGACAGAGGAAACATAGTAACATCTTTCAAGTATCAGACATTTGGAGATGGACCCCTAATCTGTCTCTGCAGTGGGCTCTCAGGAAGCTTAGCTGTTAGTCATTTTTCCTTAAAAATCACGAGACTGCTGCTACAGTTCACCTAGATTTGGCTATGGAACAAGTTAATAAAACCTCTCTGTGGAAACAAGGATTATATCGATTTATTCATTTTATTTTTAGCTACACTTTTCCTACAATTTGACACCTAATTCTCTTTCTGTACCTGTAGTATACAATGAACCTATTTTCTTTAGTGAGTCATTGGTAAATTTCATGAGCAATTTGCAGTGTGCTAAATTATACATTTTTAAAAAAAAATTTAACTATTTACTTTGATTTTTTTTTCTGCACATACAGTGAACATTTTTATGGCACAAGAAAATGTGATTTAAGCAACCTTGCGATAGAGGGCATTAATTCTCAAGAAAGGCTCTCTAAATTCCAACTGAAACTTAATCAGCTAAGACAAAAATATTTTCCACCTTCTTTTAAGATTATAATGGCAGTAGTATCCCTAAAATAGCATATTTCACAAGAATTCATGACCAATAAGTTTAATACTATTATCTCCTTTCAGCCAATCATTCATCTCTAGAAAAGACCCCAGATCTTGTTTAAAATAAGAAATAATTAAATCTGATTGGTTACAATTTTTTTCTTCTGCTATTTTAAAAACAAAATAAATTAAGCTATAAGGAGAACAACAGCATCACTATGAGCATCTCTGAAAGATACCCTAGCTAAAAGAAGGCAAGGTAATACAATGGCTAGGATATTAGGGTGAAGTTTGTCAAAAGTGACCGAATTCTTTCCCATTGAAGTCATTGGTAAAACCCCCATTGACCTCACTAAGAACAAAATTAGTCCAACACTGAATACTTTTGAAAATCTCAACCTTACTCAAAGGCAGGAGAGTTTATTTAGCATACACTCTGCCATGTGCATGCTTTATTTGTGCAGACCGGCTGGTGTGGGACTTCTACACCTTGGCAAATTGCTTACTTGCCATATTTATCAAGATGTGTTGGAGGTTTACGCTTTTACAGAAATGAAAGCAAAGCAATTCTGTCAAATTCTATTCTTGTATTTTAACAACTTGTTTAATTTAGCTCATGAACAATGATTTTGCTTTCCAATTGCTGTCTGCATAATCAGAAGCTGCATTTTAGATGAATACAATAAAACAGATAAAAGATCATTTTGAAAATATGACTATGTAGAGAAGAATTCCAACATTGTGCAATTTAACTTTAAATACTAATAAGGATATTTTTAAAATATAAATTAAGCTTATTTGGAGTAAATCTGAAAATATGGACAGTGATGATGATGAACACAAACAAAATATCTTGTTTTTTACAAATATTTAAAAAATAAATCTAATATTTTTCTGTGAGCTTTTGATACTAAAGACAGGCCAAGACTTCACATTACTATGAACAAATTACAATGCATCCTTCAAATATGATCTTAAAACAAACCATACATTAACATAACGACTAAGCAACAGGTAATTACCGAGGCAAAACAACATTGTCTGAAGTGTTTCTCCTTTAAAATATTGTGACTCAACCATGTCATAAGACAAGGACCTGGCCCATACAGCATATTGAAAGAAATCGTGTGAAGCACAGTAATCAGAATTCATTTTTTTGGCTTAATCTTGTCATTACACAAAATAAAACATTCAAATACTGGGAGTGATGACCAAAATACAATCAAATACACAAAATTTTGCTACAAAATAACACATTTAATGGCATTAACTATACAACAAAGAGATGATCACTTGCCTACAAAAGTATCACTTAGGGTCTTACACAAGACATATTTCAGAAATTTTCCAAGTCTATGAAGCACAGTTTCCTGCAGTTTTCTCTATTTCCATTTTTCACTCCTCTTCATTTATATGGCAGCTGCTCTAAAGCCCATTGCAGTCAATGAGAAAACCTGCCACTGACTTAAATAAATTTTGGATCATGATTGTTAGGGCTCAGTCATTAAATCACATTGATTTCAATAGGCAGCACTTAAAATGTGTTAAGGCCTTCTTTTCGGAAAACATTACTATTCATGAGATCACTTAAGCACAGGCATAAGTGCTTTCCTGAATACAGGCCAAGTGTTATTCTGAAAAGGGGTGGACTTAAGCATGCCCTTAAGTGCTATCCTGAAGCAGGGCCAGAGTGCAGTACTCTAGACCTGTAAATCTCACAGTGGCATGCCTCAGCAAATAAGCCACTCTCCCTTTGATAGCTAGGGGTGTTTGAAAGATGATTACATCTAATCTCTACTTCCTGCCATTTTTCATAAACTTCAGTTAGATGTCTTGGTAACTATGGAAAGCATTTACATGCAGGTTAGAAAGGAAGTGTATGGGGCTATATCAACACATTTATTGCATGCCCAGTTATAGCTCACTGCATTCCCATTTCTGGTTGCACTCAAAGCACTATGAAAAGCTGAAATGATTTCACCAGAAACCAATGAGGTACACATAAAAGTTGGTCAAGAAAACAAAGCAAGTGTGTTAATAAGCCAAAGAGCCATAATATTCAATAGCTTTAAAACTTCCTTACATTGTTTCATACAAATTAGCACTGACAGACTTTTTTGTCCATCTGCTGCCAATTCAGGATGTTCTCTCTTTGCTAATTCATTCCTAAGAGGCTGATTGGCAACTGACAACTAAATGAAATAGAAACGATGGACTTGATGTGCCAAGAGACTGCCATCTTTGCAGCAGTGAAGCACTGATTTCTTCCTGCAAATATTGAACTCCTTAAACTCCTTTTCTTTAAAGGAGAGTTGATGGAGCCTTTAGTTTTATAGTAAGTGCAGGACCCTTCGTTTCTTTAACCTAGTGTTATTAAAACCACCCTCACTGCATTCGAAGGCTATGCGTGTCCTGTACAGTGCACAGTCAAAACATCACAAATGCAGTGGTAGTTGGAACTGACTCCATTTCAGTTTATCTGAACATGTCCTAGAAAGTGGATTGCTAAACAATAATAAAATGATAGTAGATTAGGACACATTTTTAGATGATGCATCACCTTTCCCCCATTCTAACAAGTAGGGAACACTGAGTTTTGAAAAGGTCACCAAGGAAAAGCAGTCTGATAATGTCAGTGACAGTCTTTCAAATTCTCCTGATCATTTCTATACTATCAGGAAAAATTTGGAATTAAATTTGCATTAAACTGTATCCATCAATGCATTCTCCCTCCGACCTTGCCCTGAATCACTGCCTTTCATTATTCATTGAATGCTGGGGTCAAATGCAGTTATCCTGTTATATGGAGTAGGTCCCAGATCTTCAAAAGATGATTAGGCTTCTAAAATCCATTGATTTCAATGGGAGTTAGGCACCTAAATACTTGTGAGGTTCTGGGCCTGTGAATTTAGCATGTAATCACAGAATCATAAAACTGGAAGGGACCTCTAAATGTCATCAAGTATACTCTCCTGCTCTCATAGAAGGACCAAACACCATCTAGACCAGGGGTGGCCAAAGAGCCAAGATAATAGTGGATCCAGCATGAAGAGCTGGGGCAAAGTTGTCTAGCAAGAAAAAAAAAAGCTCTGCCCCTTTAAGAAAACACATTTAAACATATTTTGAGGTTTTTTGAAGCCCGAGGCCATCTTTTATGGCCATGCTGGATGTCTCTCCAAGTCAGCACAAGGAGCCAGGAGGAGAGGGCCATTTTTGGAGACATAGGGGTGGCTTATAAGCCACGAGGGGAGGAAGGGCAGGGGGCTTCGCAAGCCGCACCTGGGGGAGGGAAGAGTCACATGCAGCTGATGAGCCTCGGGTTGGCCACGACTGATCTAGACCATCACCTACAGATGTTTATCTAACCTGCTCTTAAAAATATCCAATGATGGAAAATCACAGCTTCCCTGTGCAACTGATTCCAGTGCTTAACCACCCTGACAGAAAGTTTTTCCTAATGTCTAATCTAAACCTCTCTTGCTAAAATTTAAGCCCATTGCTTCTTGTCCTATCATCAATGGTTGAGGAGAATAATTTTTCTCCTTCCTCCTGGTAACAACCTTTTAGATACTTGAAAGCTGTTACTATGTCCCCCCTCAATCTTCTCTTTTCTGGACTAAACAAGCAGAATTCTTTCAGTCTTCCCTCACAGGTCATGTTTTTTAGACCTTTAATAATTTCTGTTGTTCTTCTCTGGATCTTCTCCAATTTGTCCACATCACATGATACAAATGCACATCCAATGATATTGTTCCTAGAAACAGCTACTGTAAGGAAAAGTTATATTTCTGAGACAAATCCAGAGAAGGGATGATATTCAATAGAACTCTAGGGTCTTCCTCCTTTAAAATGATACATTTTTGTCTACTTCAAGATTATTAGTTATTTTCTTAATAGTTTGTGGAGATAGCCTCCAGTACAGTGCAATCTGCACCATGACCCTTTTCCAGCAGTCAACTCTGCTCCAATAAATCCCCCTTAAATTGTCTTCATTGACTCTTTTGTTTGACTTTTAGTTAAGAAATTACTCGATTTTGCAGTTCATTTTTGTAGTTTCTCTTGAGACAAGTTTCATTGTCTATGAGAGGACAGAAAGTAGGAAAGTGTATACTTTTCTGCAGTGAAGACAAAATGATTTGTGATACAAAAGTGCTAATTGATTTTGCTAGCAAAATTCAACAAGCATGAGCTGAGTCTGAAAAGTCCACCACTTGCATAACATCTACTAATATCAATGTAACATCTGAGTGAGGAGGGGTTGCATGATGGGGTCTTGTGATTTTTAGGCATGTGTCACACCATGGAGAATAATCTGAAATACATAGATTAGTTTTCTGACAGACATTTCTAAAGATTACAATGGCCATTATGAATCAATTCATATTACAGGTGTACAAGGACTGCTGCTATTTAATATTGGGCTCAGACAGAGACAGAGACCAAGTGAATCAATAGAAGCGGTACCATTTTGGATTAACCTGTGAACAATATGGATTTCTTAGGAAGTGAAGGAAGAAGTTTTCTGAGGGCCAGAATTTGAAAGCAATGTCCCTGAAAGAATGACTTCAGTAATGGTAAAGCTGGAGAGAACAATAGCTGGTCCCCAGTCCTGAAAACTTTGCTGAGTACAATGGTTATCACAACCCTAGATAGTCCCATTTAAATGTATGAGACTGGTTGTGAGTAGAGAGCAGGAGAGAGGAAGGAGAAGCACTATGCTCAAAGATCAGATCCTGTTGTGGTATAAAGTAGAAGATTCTCTTTAAAACAGCAGAGCTGCACCAATTTACACTAGTTAAGGATCTCTGCAGATCTGGCCAATTCTTCAGAACCTCAGAAAACTACCAAGAACTAAATAATAAAGGGAAAAATGTAAGCATAAATCTAACTAAAGTTTTAAGCACAGTACTTATGTGATGGTCAGAATCACACCAGTTCAGAATTATTATTCCCTTCATGTAACACGTCAGTTTTGTACTGCTTTCATTAAGCGAAAATGAACTGCATTCAGATGTATACATACTTGTCACCAGTATTATGCGGAGGACAAATGGTTAAATGGACCAGACAAATATTCCATGCCAACCTCTTTAAAACATCCATTTATAAAAGTTTAGTTTTATTTTTAAAAGTCACTCTGTGGTAGAAAAGGTAGATATGAGACTGGTCCAATAACGGTGCTGCTACACCTGTTTTATTAAGGCTTTGTTAACTTTGGTGTAAGAAATGCTATAATGTTTAGCTGTGGTTCCATTTAAAAAAAACAAAATTTAGAAGTTATAAAGAGGTTCCAGATTCAGCCATTTAACCACTGGTTTCTCTGCATTTTGTTAGAGCTGGACAAAAGACAGGATTTATTTTTAAAAAATTTTTACCTCTAGTTTCAAATCTTAAAATATAATATAATTAGAGAGGGAAAAGTTTGAAAGTGTCATTTTATTTCCTTTAATTTTTTTCCCACATTTTCAAATTTCATCCAAAATTTCAGAAATTTTGACTAGCTCTAATTTTATATTGTTCACTGAGGTACATTAAACAGTATCAATGTTGAGTTATGCCTTTTCTGAGTTTGTCAAATCTCAGAAATTTACAGGTAAAGATAGCCAATCCAATAAACAAGATTAAACAAAGCAAAGGCTGTTGGAAAGAAGATCCGAGAATAGGAATCAATTTTGGCAACACGTATGTGTATTCTTCCTTCTCTCCAAGAACCTGTGCGGCAGTCTTCAAAACAACAAAAAAAGCTGGTGCAGTCTTTGCCTTCCAGGCACTCATATCCATAATCCTCATTGCGTTGTTGGAGGTGATTAGTGTTGTTAATTGGTATTAATGTTGATCCAGGACGAACAGCAATTGCAGACGATTTCTAAAGAAAATAGTATGTTGATTATTGTCAGAGAGAAAAACAAAAACTAACACTTATGTTTCCTTGGGCAACGCCCAACTACGAACATTTTAACGTATAATACATAGAATTCCATGTTGGAAGAAATCAGTTTGTAAACTTTTTCAATTATGAAACATTTTATATAATTAACTGATGAGGCCAAAGGATCATGAATATTTTTCACATGGTACAATGCAGAGTGGATTGTTCTGGGAGGTCAAACTACTGAATAATTGGTTCTACAGAGTTAGGTGATCCCATCTATCTAGCACAAACAACATTTTGGAACCTAGTTGCAGCCTGAAACTTGGGTCACAAAATTGTTCATAAGCAGGATGAGAATAGTACTGCCATAGAAAATGCTGGATTGTCAATCTATTAATGTCTTCAGATCAAGCCTGCATGCCTTTCCACATGATATGCTTTAACCAAAAAAGTTATTAGGCTCAATACTGTGGTAACTGGATGAATGTTCAATGGCCTTTGTATACAGGAGGTCAGACTAGATAATCTAATGGTCTCTTCTAGAACTAAAGTTGATGAATAGAAGACCCAGGCAGTGAGGAACCAAGAGTCAAATTCTTCCCCTACAGAACTCCATTCAAATCAGTGAAATTGAACCAGGGTATGTCTACACTACCCCGCTAGTTCGAACTAGCGGGGTAGTGTAGACATACCCCCAGAGATTAATATGGCACCATGTGTTAATTATATTGATTATACCAAATGGAAAGGCAGCCTGGTAACAATGTGTTATGTATATAATCTCATCAGACAAGTGAAATCAAACACTTGATATTATTAATAGTAATTTAGTAATCAATATTGGGCAATACAAAGTATGTTCTGTTCTACTATCGGAATTTTGTCCATCCTACTCACACTATTTCCTTTAATCTTTCCTCCATCTATTGGTCTCCTTTTTTCCATGTTATTTCTTATCTTCAGGGCTCTGATTCCTTCCTCCATGACTCCTTGATCACCTGCTTTCCTGTTATTCTTCATTCCCTACTCTGTCCTCTTTCCAATCTTAACCCCACATTCTTCACTTGTCCTCTCATTCACTCTCCTTATCTTTTCTTTCAGCCAGATATGGAGTCCCCCTCCTGAATTCTCAGACTGAAAAGAAATTGATATCCCTCACATTATCCCTGTATGATATTCATACGTGTTTCCTTTTCTCTTCCAGAACTCTGAGCACCTCCGTTTTCTGAACAGGAATGAGACCAAAAGAAATGGAAAGAAATATGTTTAGAAGATAGGACAAGAGAGCACAAATTTGCAATAAAAGCATTTATAACCTTAGTCCCTGAAAAAGTGGAAGGGGACTTCTCTAAAAGAGTTGTGAGTGTATATGGTGGGGGCAAGGAAACAACATACAAGATGGCCAATAACAGTCAACCAAAGTAATCTGGGATCTTGCACTTCTAGGGTGCTGTTTCACCACTTACAAGACTCTTGCCTTGAACACTATAGGTTTCCAATTCCTTGCTAATAAAGTGATTTATGCCCATGCATCCTTGGAGCCAGTAGTCTTCCAGAGTTTGTATGGAAGTGGTACATTGACATGCTGAAACTTTATTTAAATAATGTATTTCAACATTTTATATCAACTGTATCATAAGCATGGGCATTTTGCAAAGACTGCAGTTTCTCATTTTTGAACAGGAACTAATTATTATCCTGAAGAAGCTAATTGCAACCAATTTTGTGAAAATACAATATCAACTACATTCACAATCAACAGATGTTTCTTCTATTTTATACCAATAAGTAGAAAAATACAGGGCCTTATTTGTTACAGGGCTACGCTGGTTTTACACCACATGACTCCCTCAGTTTCACTGGTGTAAAATGCAAGGAAGAGCAGTGAGAGCTGCATAAAACTATTTTATGCAGAAACTATTTTTCTTTTAACTGACTACTCACTTAGCAAATCATTCAAAAATGTATTAAATTGTTAAGAAGCAGAAGCACAAAATTGTTCAGAATAGTGTATACCTCTTATTCAGCATTGTAATTAATTATGATCTTATAGTACCTCTGTAAGGTAGTTAAATATTATTATACCCATAATATAAGAGAGAAAATTGAGGCCCAAAGCTGTGAAGTCATTTATTCAAGATGACACAGCTATTTGTGTCATAGGTATCTTGACTATCTGTGTAAAAAGATAGCCAAGAATCTTGAAACTACTCAAAGGAAAGGTCTCTGATGTGCCATTGAGTGGTTCTGATTATATCCAGTAAAGGAACACACTTACCCAGACAGTTAAAACATGTCCCCTTTTCTTCTTACCTAAAATCAGAAGTATCTGAGGCAAATCTAGGTTCCTAGCTTCTAGATTTTCTTGCTTATAAAAAGATGAAATGTTGTAGTAGAAGAGGTTATGACATAAGCATGACAATAAGTGGAAGGTGGAACAGTAGAATAAGAAACATATGCATTTAAAAGAGTGGAAAGAGGTACACCCACCATTAGGAGCAAGATACAGTTTAACCTGTGTCTAGTCTGGAAGATATAATGTCAGCACATATCCAGCAGGGTAAGTGCCATTTACAAAAAATAACGTGCACAACCCAAAATTATTTGCTCCAGTATATGACCAAGAAAGCCACAGGAAAGGATAGAACATGTGGAAGAATGAGGCTGTATAATGCCTACTGGGCTTTCTCTCTTTAGGCCAACAAAGAGCTGAGAATCCTGCAGATGTGATTTCCTCAAACTCATTCAGCATGAGAGAGACCTGAGTCATACAATAGTCATCAGTATGGTCATGAGAAGAATTAGTGGTACGTTCTACAGAGGGACTCAGAGAATGACAATTATTAGAATGATCCATAGCACAGTGTTTCAAAAGAGGAAGACAAAAAAAGAAAGAGAAAACCTAGTACACGGGGGAAAAGAAATAATAGAGAGAGAAGGAAGATAGCATGAGAGTGAGAAAGGGGAAAGAAAAGAGCAGAAAAGCACAGGATTTTAAAAAACCTTTAAAAAAGTAAACATTTAAGGAAAATCTAGATGTTAGGAAAGGCCAGATCCTCAGCTGGTAGATTGGCATGTACCCTTTCCAAACCTGAAAAACAGCTCTGTGTAAGATATAAAATATGACCTTACTGACCTTTTCTCACTAGTATCTTGGGGACACACAGCTAGAACAACACTTCATACACCTTTTGTTGTTTTACATTTCTCAAGTGTGTCTTTTGTGTAATCTGCATCCATGTGATACATTATAAAGGACTCAAAAATGTGCAACTTTTTTGCTAAACTTATTTTCTACAGCCTGGGAAACGTTTAGCTTAATGAATATTCTACTTTCAGAAAGCTTTTTACCATTCCATTATTGCCAAGACAATAACTATTTATTCAAATGCTTTTATTCATAGGAAAAAAAGTTTTCATCTCCATATATTGTAGTAAACTTGCTGCTATGAGTCTATATAGACAGGATGTATCCTTTAGCTTATTTATATGACACGCTGATACCTTTATATAGTGCATACTGATATGCTGCATATTCATATTTTATTATGATTACACTTTTGGGATTACAAAAGTGCATTAAGTTCAGTGAAGGGGAAAAAGTACCCCCTTTTTATAATGACATGGATAACTTTTCTCTGGGCATAAAAATTAATTGGCTCTGGGCATAAAAATTAGTCATCAGTGAAACAGCTATGTGAATACTAACAGAAGTAAAATGCTGTTGATGAATTCACTTCCTGCCCCTACATGTTAGTAAGCGACCTGTTCTAATCAGCTACAATATCTTGACACATGTAACTATATTATTACATAGAGTAATAATCTTTTACTAAAGGCCCAGCTCTAAACAGAAGATTTCTGTAGGCCATCCTTTAAAAACAAGTGTAAATTAAACCTTTTCATAAAAACTTATACATAATATTTTTAATTAAATTGGCTTAAAAATAGCACATTCATAATCAGAAGAAAAAAACAGGAATGAATAGGGAACTTGAAGAAAGGTATCAGGAAAGATCAGGGTTTGTTACTGTATGGCTTCTCTGTAATTGTTCCATTTGGAATTAGAAATCTCACTGCATTTTAAACGTCACTGAACTAAAAAAAAAAAAAAAAAAAAAAAAAAAAACCACACCTCTTTCATAAGCTCGGTCTCTTTTATAACTAAATATATTAAATTTAAAAAAATACTCAGATATGTTTCATTTGTTTAAAGAAATCTGGATGAACAGATGGGGGCATTTCTCAGACCTTAAAAAACAAAGCACATTTCTAAAAGGACCACACACAATACTATCGAGAGCAATGTTCTAGATATTGCATCACTGCTTCTCATCTTAGACACATCTCTAGCTACATATTCAGTAATTGAGACTATGCATGACTCACCAATACAGTATTTTTATATTGCTTTAGATACTGTAAGTTTTGTACCATTTTGCAGAATATCACACAAATTCTTAGTTTATGAAACAAAATTCATTAAAGTCTAGGAGTTCTATTATGTATTAATGCATCTCCATTACTTTAATTGTTAATGATCTGCCACTATTTCAAAAGAGGCGGTTAGATATTTTGACTCTGATAAAAGACATTTAATATTAATAAAAGGTTATTATGAACAAATATATAAAATTAGCCAATTCTTTTTCCCCACAGGCTGGGAAAGAAGAGAGATTCTTATAATTATTTCTATTATTAAAACACATGAGATGCATTCAGCTCCACCGGTGATGGAGGCAGATTAAATAAGTTAAACTGATGGCAGTTTCTCCCCGTCTCTCTGGCTTGGGTAGGCGGCACTGCCTCCCACACTCTCTAAGTTCCTTTTCCTCTTTGGCACGCTGAGAGATCCCACTTCTGTTTCGGTGTACTGTGCCCCATAGACACATACTGCAGGAGTACACGTTTCTATGACCTCCCTGGAGCCATGCCTGAGAAGTGCAGCTCAGACCCGCTATCCCCTCAGAACCTTTATCACTGTCACCCCCTCC